TGCTTTAGCCTCAGTGGGGCTCTTTGGGGGTGCCTTGGCCTCTGCAGGGCCTTTTGTGGGTGACTTGGCCTCAGTGGGGCCTTTTGGGGGTGCCTTGGCCTCACCAGGGCTTTTTGGGGGTGCTTTTGCCTCAGCAGGGGTAGATGGAGCTGGGGTTGCTTTGGCAGGGCTTTTTGGGGGTGCCTTGGCCTCTGTGGGGCTTTTTGGGGGTGCCTTGTCCTCAGGAGAGGCTGGGGTGCCTTTGGCAGGGCTCTTTGGGGGTGCCTTGTTCTCAGTGGGGCTCTTTGGGGGTGCCTTGGCCTCACCAGGGCTTTTTGGGGGTGCCTTGTTCTCAGTGGGGGTGCCTGGAGCTGGGGTGCCTTTGGTAGGGGTTTTTGGGGGTGTCTTGGCCTCAGCAGGGCTTTTTGGGGATCCTTTGGCTGCAGCAGGGGCTGCTGGAGCTGGGGTGGCCTTGGCAGGGCTTTTTGGGGGTGCCTTGGCTTCAGTAGGGCTTTCTGGGGGTGCCTTGGCCTCAGGAGAAGCTGCTGGAGGTGGGGTGCCTTTGGCAGGGCTTTTTGGGGGTGCCTTGGCCTCAGTGGGGCTCTTTGGGGGTGCTTTGGCCTCAGCAGGAGCAGCTGAAGGCGCTGGAGCCACAGGAGAGGATGGGGCAGGGACAGGGCTGCCCTTGGGAGGTTTTTTGGATGCTCCAGGGGAAGCTGGAGCTGGGGTGGCTTTGGCAGGGCTTTTTGGGGGTGCCTTGGCCTCTGTGGGGCTTTTTGGGGGTGCCTTGGCCTCAGGAGAGGCTGGGGTGGCTTTGCCAGGGCTCTTTGGGGGTGTTTTGTCCTCAGGAGAGGCTGCTGGAGCAGGAGCGGCTTTCACAGGGCTCTTTGGGGGTGCCTTGGCCTCAGTGGGGCTTTTTGGGGGTGCCTTGGCCTCAGGAGAGGCTGCTGGAGCTGGGGTGGCTTTGACAGGACTTTTTGGGGGTGCCTTGTCCTCAGNCAGTTCAGGGTGACAGAGCCCTTCCTGAGTCCCCTCAAAGCCACAGCACCAAGACCCCACTCACAGAGGCCCCAAGGTTGCTGCACATCCATGGCTTCACTACAGGGATCATCTGGGATAACCCCAAACTCCCTTCAGGTGATCTCAGGGCCACCAGGATCATCTGGGATAACCCCAAACCCCCCTCAGGGCCACCAGGATAACCCCAAACCCCCTTCAGAGGACCTGAGGGCCACCAGGACGATCTGGGATAACTCCAAACCCTCCTCAGGGCCACCAGGATGATGTGGGATAACCCCAAACCCCCTCAGGGCCACCAGGATAATCTGGGATGACCCCAAACCCTCTTCAGGATCATCTGGGATAACCCCAAATCCCCTCAGGGCCACCAGGATAATCTGGGATAACCCCAAACCTTCTTCAGGATCATCTGGGATAACCCCAAACCCCCCTTCAGGTGACCTGAGGGCCACCAGGATGATCTGAGATAACCCCAAACCCCCCTCAGGGCCACCGGGATCATCTGGGATAACCCCAGACCCCCCTCAGGGCCACCAGGATAATCCCAAGCCCCCTTTAGGAGAACCTGAGGGCCACCAGGATGATCTGGGATAACCCCAAACCCCCTCAGGGCCACCGGGATCATCTGGGATAACCCCAGACCCCCTCAAAGGACCTGAGGGCCACCAGCTGCAGTTGTGACCCACAGCACTGACCACACCAGTTACTGAAGCACAGCTGGGTGTCCCCAACCTTGGAGGACACCTGGAGGTGACCCTGATGCAGCCATTACCTGCATTCAGCCCTCATGGCACACACAGGAACCTTGGCAAACCTCTGTGCCCGTGTCCAGGTGTGCCAACACTTCAGGCATAGCGTGGGGACATCCGTTTGCCACCACACACAGCAGTGCCAGGCACGTGGGTGGCATCTCAGTGTGAAGCCAGCTCAGATTATCTCGTTTTTGCAGTGCCCATGCCACAAAACAAACCAACAAACCAACAAACCACAACCAGCACGCCGTGCTCCGTGCCCGAGGACACGCGTTAGTGACCGCTGGCACCGTGTGCCCGCCGTTAGTACCCGGTGGGCATCACCCAGTGACACTCCATGCACACACACAATACCCTTGTCATTCTTGAGGACGGGCTGTGGTGCCAGCACCCCCGTGGCAGGGGACAGCTCCAGCAGCACGGGTGGCTCTGGGGGGAGCAGAGGTGGCAGCTCCTCGTCATCGTCACCGGGCACGG